GAAAGCTAGAGTTTCAACATGTTTGGTCGCCCTCTTGGGCCCCTCTTGGTGCCGTCTTGGAGCCCTCTTGGGCCGTCTTGGGGACCTCTTGGGCCGTGTTGGGGCCGTCTTGGGCCGTCTGGAGGCCGTCTTGGGGGCATATTGGGCCATCTTGGGGCTGTCTTTGGGGCCTCTTTGTCCGTCTTGGAGCGTCGGGAAGCCGAAAAGGCGGAAAAGCCAAAAACATCGAAAAACACTATGGAAAATCAACAATTTTAGACTCTTGGGGCCCTCTTGGGAGGCTTGTTTGGGACCTCGGGGGCCGTCTTGGAGACCTCTTGGCCCGTCTTGGGGCCATCTTGGGCGTCTTGGAGCGGTCGTTTGGCGTCTCGGGGCCTTCGTGGGCCGTCTTGGAGGCCCCTTGGGGGCTTTGGCCCGTCTTGAGGCCCTCTTGGGCCCGGAAAAGCCCCGTGAACCGCTCGCCCCGGCCGTGCTGCGCTCGTGCCGGACCCCCCCCCCCCTCCAAATCGACCGGGCCGGGCTCCCGGGGGAGGGGTTTGGGGAGGAAGGTCAAGCCAGAGATTACTTGCCAGCGCGGCAGCGTGCAAGAATCAGTGGGCCCTTGCTTCCCTGGACATCAACATGGCCGTCCTAAGGGGAAGGACCTATCGAGAACTCGCCGAGGCAATTGGTGAAAAGGAACGCGCGGCGCGCTTTACTTTGCCGCCTGGGTCGGCAACTAGGCCCCGTGCTCTTCCAGGGTTTGAGAACTACGACGAGTCCAAGCATTGTCTGCAGTGCTTGAAACCGGGCACAGGCACTAAGGACGCCCCACGGGCTTTCTTACTTAAGCTTAGGAGAACCACCAGAGGATTTGGCCTCCGACCTACGTCTTACGACGAGGAGTTCGAGACGAGCAATAACTTGCTCACTGCCGAACATGTTGGTGACATTCACATGGCGGGCACTGAAGACACCGTTGACAAGTATGTCAAACGCGTTGAGGGTACCTTTTGGCAAGCGTCAACTCAACAAGCACACACATACGAGCTGTGCTGTGAGGTACACCAAGGATGAGGACGGACATGTCACTTTCGATCTAGATGAAAGCATGAAGCAGCTCCGTCCTATACAACATCTTGAATTGACCGGCGCGGACGCTGTCGCTTAAGCGGCCATGATGGTGGCGGACATGTTCGTCAGCTTCAGAGGCGCGCTGGCATGCGCATTGATCGCCCAGATCTGGTTGATGGTCTATGTTGTATCTCTCCAACGTGTGCAAGAACCGACCAATATTCAAGCCGGACGATTGAACGCGATCACCAGACAACTACCGGCATGCCCGAAGAAGATCGTCGACCAGGCGGTGAACCCCACGGGCGATGTCGACTTACATAGCGACTCAGGCTATCGACGCCTGAGTGGAGACGCCGATGACGACGTCAAAGGCTATGGCATTCGCGGGGCAAACCTGCTACGACGTGGAAGCACGTCATCTGGCAAGCCTGTCGTTCACTTGATTGATGCGCGCTGCAAGCCTCACCGATTGCAAGCCCGCTCAAGCTGTTCAGCAGAGGCCCTTGCAGCAGCCCATAATTTGGAGGACTGTTATCCCACGATTGTGACTCTGCACGAGCTCCATGCGGGGCCGCTCGCACCCACTCAGTTGAAAGACGTACTTGAGTTGGGTGGCCTGTGCATCATGGTCACTTTGACCATCGACGCAGAGTTTGTCTTTTAATCCTTGTCAAGCAAAGACTTGAAGAAGCCGATTGGGTGTACCCTTTTAGGACACATAAGTTGGATGCGACAGATGATGGAGCGCGGAATCGCGCATGGCATTCAGTGGTGTGATACCCGCGATGTGACTGCGGATGGACACGCAAAAGGGAGCATTTACAGAGACATGCTCCTAAAAGTCATGGGAGGTATACAGACCTTCAAACATGACCTGAAGAGACATGCGCCATATCGGACCGGCCAGACATCAAGTTCTGACGCCGCCTGATGCGTATGCCTTACACTCGCGAGGCAAATCTCTGACGGGTCCGACTCCTTTGGGCCCGTCTCCTTTCCTGTCTTCGTACAGGCTAGCTGCTGACATGTTCTCGCTTTATGGGTGGCGGACGCTCGCTTCGTCTCCCTCCCCCCCGATTCCAAAGCGAGCTGGGGGGCGTAAGGAGCGTGAGCGAGCGTGCGCCCGCGGCCGTCTTGGTTCAAGCGGCCGGCCGCTTAGATTTGACTGTGCCTCACCGCGAGGCACACTATCGCTATCGATGCTAAAAGGCATCCCCTTTTACTTGACATGGCTTCCCCTCGTGCATTGGGAATATCGCTACTACGATACAACCGAGCTGGAGCTTGGCTTCGCCAGAAGCGAAGCTGTTGGCGGGGCCTCCCAGCCCCATTTCAAACTGTCTTAGGTCGTCTTGGTAATTTTTGTCGGTCGTCTTGGGTCCCCCTTGGGCCTTCTGGGAGCCCACTTCGGAGCCTCTTGGGTGGTGTCGGGGCGATTTTGGGCCGTCTCGGTCGGTCGGGAAACCGAAAGGACGACAACACCGAATATCGCCCAGCATGTGTATAAATTCAATGGTTTGGGCCTCTGTGGGCCCCCTTGGAGGGCCTCTTGGAGCCTTCTTAGGGCGCCTTGGTGACCTTTTGGGCCGTCTTAAGCCGTCTTGGGCATCTTGGGGAGCTCTTGGGAGGATCCGGGATTTTCTTGGACCGTTTGGGGGACCTCTTGGAGCCCTCTCGGCCCGTATTTGGGCCCTCTTTGCCCCGGAAGAGTCACGCGATAACATACCCCGAAACACGAGATGGCCATAACAATCAGGCAATGCGGGGCCCAGGCATTTAAACCGTTCCGCTGAGGATTGAGGACTCGAAGTACCTGAGGACGTTCCCATTCGTGCGTCAGGTCACGGTGGCGGATAGGCAGAGAACACGTGTTAGCCAACGTGGATCCCAAACATTGCGTTATTTACAATGTAGAGTTGGAATATGTGTGATGTAAACAATGTGGTACGAGTTATGTGATGCAAGCTACGCGGTGCACGCAGTATAATGTAATCGTTGTTGCGTGAATTATGTGGTGTGATAGGTTTGTGATGAGCTATGTGGTGCAAGCTATATTGTGTAAGCCACGCCTTGTGGGCTATGGGGTGTGAACGATATCGTGTAAGCCATGTGGTGACTCTCCTGCGGTGTTACCTTTGCGGTGTGAACTAGTTGGTAACCAGCATCGGGCGCGCTATGCGGTAAAGGTTGTGCCTTGTGCGCCAGGTTGCGTACGTCATGTGTTGTGATCCGTGCATCAAGGGAAGAACAACCACCCGGACCCGTCCATTGGCGTTTACTAAACTGCCTTTGGCGTCTACTAAGCAGCCCTGCCCTGTTCGACTCCTTCCTTGGGCGCGTTGACTGAACGGCTTCGCTTGTCGGGGTGATTTTTACGGGGTTGGATCTTCTGCCTTCCTAATGTAGTGTGCGTTGTGCGGTGGCAGTTGTGCGGTGGAAGCTCTGTGGTGCAAGCCCAGCCTTGACGAACCAACGACACACACACACACACACCCATACCCATAGGGGGGTCGGCGAGGGCTATGGGTGTCGGCGAGGGCTATGGGTGCGTGTTGTCGGATGGGGGGGCGGCGGCGCGTCTTCGTATCCTTCGTCGTCGTCCTCGCCCTCGCCCTTCTGTAAATAACTCGGGGGTGGACAGGACTCCCAACAGTGACACGTCGATGAGCGAATTGTCCGTTTTCGGTTGTTCAGAAGGCGCCGCGGCCGTTATTTTCCAGGCGTGCGCCCGCCAGGTTTGGGCGTCAGGTCGTTTTCACTAAACCACGTTTTACTAAAGGAAGGTTTGTCCATCCCCGAAAATAACCGCAGCACGAAACCCTGAGTGCAAGCACTGTTAGAGGTAGCCACGGACATTCGGCAAACCCTTGCCCCTTCGCTGGCGTCTCATGACCAGGCAGACTCGTGACCCATGGCCACTTACATCGGTTGCAGATTCTTATATCATGGGTGGGGTGAACGAAGCGAGAGCCATTAGAAGAGAGAGAGAGAGAGACACACATACTTTGACTATGACTATGCTGGAAGTCGCGGAGTGGTGTCAGGAGCGCGTGTTCAAAGAGCAGTGGAGCGGACCATCTCGAGCGATGCCACCGCCAGTTTCCGATGCCGCGAGAGGCAGGACTGGAGCGAGCGGGATCGCATTGCACTCTCGGGTCGGCGATATGCGCTGGCTGTACATGTCTGCTCCTGTTCATCGGAGGAGGAGAACCATGCCGATCCACCTTGTTCTCCATCCCCCCCTTCCACAGAAAGGTGGTCAACATTCACAGGAGGAGGGGGGAGGATATGGATCTGTGTGAGCGTTTTATTCCCAGCCCATGCTCGTGCTCGTATTGTCACTCTTGCTGCGGCCGTCGGTCCATGCATCCCCTCCAGCGCGCGCGCCTCCAATCTCCCCGACCAGTCAGATGCACGGGCAGCCCGACCGGTGAAGTGCTCGCGTCCTCCCCCCCAGGTCAGCCCCTTCTCTCCCGTTCGCGCTCTGTTTCTTCCCCGAGCAACGCTCGCTACCCTGGCCAAACCCCCCTTCCCGCCCCCCCCATGTGACGCTATTGCAACGATCGCTCTTTGGGGGTGGCCTGGACCCCTTTCCTACATACTGTGGTGCACGCAGGCGATTGCTGTGCTGGCGGCGCGGGCGCACCCTGGCGGGTGCACGCCGCGGCCGCCGTTACTGTTGCCCTCCCGCCCGCCCCCCCCCACCCCTCCCCCGGGTTACGACCGTTACCCGGGAAAGAAGCCACACGGTCACCCATTCCTGCTGAGCAGTGCTTGACTCGCATGGGGCTCAGGACGTCTTGGCGCACGACCTCGCGTCTTGCAACAGTGTTGTCCCTCCATCTCTCTCTCTCGTTCTGCCATCCCCGCCAGCCTCGTCAGATTCGCTCCTCCTCACCCCTGCCGTCTCCGCTCCGCTCCCGCCGCTCCGCTCTCGCGCTCAGGAGCCCACCCTGGCCACAGCTCCGAACCCGTTCGACAGCCCCAGGCCTTGCGGGGATGGTGCTGTTGTACGCGGGTGTCAAGGGGCCACGACAGATCTCAGGAGGAAGAGAAACACACAGACACAAGTGATCGTCGATTCCCAGGAACATATTGAAAAATACGGGAATTGGGGGGGAAGGCACAAACCCAGAACATATGGGAACATATGGGGAAGCTTGTTAATTATTTGTGTGAATGTATGTGTGTGTTCCAGGGCCCCTTCAAGATATCTACACGGATGCGGCACCTCCCGCGCGAGGCGTTCCAGAGAGGGCCAAGTTTTCGAGGATCGAAGGAGGTGGCACCTCTTCCTCGGCGGAAGGCCACGGTACTCCTTCGTCCTCTTCTTCGGACTCCTCGTCTTCCTCCTCGTCTTCCTCCTCGTCGTCCCTCTCGTCGCCCTCCTCCTCGTTCGGCTTCTCGTCCTCCTCTTCCTCCTCCTTGGCCCCCCCCCTCCTCGTCCTCGTCATTCTCTTCCTCGTCCTCAGGCCCTCGTCGTCCTCCTCCTCGTTTCCCAAATGCTTACAAGGATGCGACACCAACGACACACATGCACTGAGCCCTTGCATGTGACATCTTCCTCTGAAGCCAGGGCTGATGACACTCGCGTGTTCTCGCCCCGCCCCAGCGTGAGTAAGGCAGACGGCCCGACACTCCGCGCCCGCACCGTCGGATGACCATGCCGTTCCTGTGTGGGGGTGGGCTCGGTACGGTGTTCGCCCAGCGCGCAGGAGCGTACATCCTTCAAGACGGTGGGTGCCGCATTGGCCCAGCACGTGGGATCGCGTGGCGTCCTCTCCCCCCTGGAGGCCCGAGGTCCACGCGCGGCCCGCGGGAGGCCCGAGCCTCTCCCCAGGGCCAGATGTTTGCCGCGAGCCTGCGTTTGACGGTCGCTTTTACGCGGCCGCCCTTCGCGGCGTCCTTTTTTGTGGCGAGGGCGGAATTTGCCTGCTATCTGATCGTCGAGTCTTTCGTGCTCGTCTGAGCCGCGCCGACGCGCCTTAGGGCGTGTGGTACTCCTTTCCTTTCCTTTCCTTCGCCGCCCTTCCTTCTTCTGTTGCCGGTTAGTGAGTATGCGGTGCGCCCCCGGTTACAAGAGCGCGCGTGCAGATTGCCTCTGCCGCGCTGTGACGTACATTGTCCTTGTCGGCCCCGAGGCCCAGTGAGGGCCCCAGCGGGCCCAGAAGCAGGGGGGGGAAGCCTCGCCCTGTGAGTTTGAATGCGTCGGAGGTCTCGGGACCATGTTGGCTCAGCCCGCCCTGGCTCGGAGCACCCTGTGAAGTAGCGTTTACGTCCTGCGGCTCCCGATTGCTCTGCTCCATCCATGTGGCTTTGCCTGCTGTTGCGGCGGCTATCGATGGAGTGGCTGCTGCTGTTGCGATGCCACCACCCAGCATCCATACGTGCTTCCTCGTGACTTCGGTTATAGCACAAGTCCTGACGGATTTGTTTTTCTGCAGTGCATGTTCCGACCCAGGTGAACCTATGATGGCTTCAGTTTGTGGGGTATCTCAATCTTGCAGATGTCATGCGACCCTCGCTGTCTCAGTAAACCGTGCACAACCCCTGGCTCGGTTTGCTTCGAAGTGCTTGCTCACTGGTCTACTTCGTTGTCAAAGCTCTTGTCAACCATAATTTACTAGAGCATGGTGGCTGCTGGCGAAAGTCAATCTAGCATTATCAATGTGCTCGGAGCCGGGTATGCTGAACATATGAAGCAGTTGGGTGCGCGTGAATTTCATTTTTTTTCGATGTTTTATGTTTGGTGTGTCTGTGTGTGTTTTTTTGTCAAACAGGCGAAGCCATTTGAACGCTTTCACATCTCTCGGAACCATGATGTAGAATACTTGCCGTGGAGAGGTAGGGTAGGTCTCAGTTGCGACGGCGTGTTCCTTCTTATTGTTGTTCCTCTCCCTCCCTCGTCCTGCCTCTGTCCACTTCATCCCCTTCCTCGTCCTTCTCCCTTCTGCTCATCGTTTCTCCGTCTCATCCTCCAGTTGATCGTTCATCGTTGATGCGCGTTTTGGAAAGACGCTGGGATCTCACCATGCAGGCCCACGGGAAGGTAGAACGATGCAGACTCATAGTGCGAGTGTTTGCCACGGCAGGAAGCGCTACAGCATCAGTGGTGTGCCGTGTGTATGTTGGTCCTCCTCACCATCCTCCTTTAGAGCCTGCTTTTCCCAACCATCCTGTGGTGTTGGGTCCTCGGTTTGAAGGGACGGCCCCCGCGTCCCTTATCTCCTCTTCTCTTTTCCTCTCCTCCTCTCCTCCTCTTTCCCCCTCCTCTTTCCTCTCGTCATCTTCTCACTTTGGCACACCCTCAAACGTTTGGTGGCCCCATACTGGGCCCTACCTACTGTCCCAGTGGCGTAGTTCGCACGGCGGCGCCGCCCCATTTTGGCACACCACTCACACGTTCCGTGGCCCCACAGGGAGCTCCACTCAAGGTCCCACTGGTGAAGTTCGCATGGCGGCGCCGTCCCATTTTCGCACACCTCCCACACGTTTCGGAGCCCCATAGGGAGCTCCATCTAAGGCCCCAGTGGCGCAGTGCGCATGGCGGCGCCGTCTCTTTTCTTGCACACCCCTCACACGTTTCGTGGCCCCACAGGGAGCTCCACTTAAGGTCCCAGTGGTGCAGTTCGCATGGCGGCGCCGACCCATTTTGTCACACACCTCAATCCGCGCGCGTCGCAGGGACCTCGGGACGACCATCGCGCGTCGTGGAAACTCCGCGCGGCGTTCTGCCAAGCGCCTCGCTCGCCCGTCGTCGCATTGCCCAGCGGCCGGATCCTTGGCCGGCAGCAGCCAGCCAGCTAGCTCTTTTTGCTCCGCGCAGCGGGCGACCCGCGCGCGTCGCTGGGACCCTTTCAGGGCGACCAGCGCGCATCGCGGGGACTCCGCGCTGCGCTGCGCCTGCAGCCTTGGGACTTGGAGCGCAAGGGCATTGAGGGAGATAAACAAGGGAAAGGAAAGGGGCTCGATCCTTGTGAGGGGCGCGCCGATGGCCGTAAAGCGCGCGGGCGCTGCCATTGGGGTTTCCAGGGGAGTTCCCTGTGGCAGCCACGCTCAGCGCCACGAGTGTCCAAAGCCAGGCGCACCCAACCCGTTCACGGTCATACACATTCGCACGAAGTGTTGCCGTGCTCGCATTCATGCACATAGACTCATTCGCGCGCAGACTCATTCACAATCAGACTCGCTCGCGCTCAGACTCACCCGCGCCCAGTTTCTCGTATTCAGACCTACCGTATTCGTCCGCGCTGTGTACCCCGCCACACATTCCGGCACAACCCTCACGCGTTTTGTAGCCCCATAGGGAGCGCCACCGAAGACGACCTTCACAACTGCGATGCTCACAATTGGATCTGGTTTGGTTGGGTCCTTCGCGATGCTGATTTTTCCGGGGGCGAGAATGGGTGTCACTGGGCGGGGGGGAGGCGGTGAGGCAGGGTGACGGTGACGTCACGGTTCGCACGGCGGCGTTTGGGAATGCTTGGGAATGACCGCGGACGGGTCGGAGCAGCATGTCGGTGGCTATGTGCAGCACGTTGCTTGTGTGAGACCCAGTGCTCGTGCACCACAGCGCCTGTGTGAACCACATCGCCGATGTACACTACAGCAGCCACAGCGCCAGTGTGAACCACAGTGCCTGCGTGCACCACAGCGCCTGTGTGCGCCACAGCGCCTGCGTACACCACAGCAGCCGTGTGCAACGCAGCACCAGTGTACACCACAGTGCTTGCGTGCCCCACGGCGCCTGTGTGCACCACGGTGCCTGTGTGCACCACAACAACCGCGCGCAACAACACACCATTGTCGCATATAGAATGTTAAAATGGATCTCTGGGACAAAATGGGGCGCCTGTGGATTCCACATAACACAAGTGTTCCATCTAGGATTTGGAAAAGAACCCGTACTGAAAATGGAGCGCTTTTGGAATCTACGTGTCCTCCCGAGCCCCCCCCCGCATCATCCGAACTCCCCCCATATGCGTCCAGAAGGCCCCCGCAGGGTTGGCCGTCCGAGAACCACGTGGACGGGTTCAATCAACCATTTTCCGGGATCGTTTCGACACCAGGTTGGAACGTGAGTTGCGTAATGCGCCTGGCAGGTTTTGCGGATGCATTTTGGGCTGCGTATTTTTCATACGTGCACACACCTGTGTAGCAATTTTTGAGGTTTGCGGGGTCTGTCGAATATTCGACTTGGTTCTCACCGTGCATGCATGAGTCACGCCGTGACATTCTAGGGCGTTCGACCGGGCGATCCGTATTCAGGTTCGCGCCGAGGTTCGACCCTCGAATCCCGAGGTTCGAGGTTCCAGGTTTTCTTCTTTCAGGGGATCGCGCGAAACATATCGATTAACTACGACGTTCCTATCCTTTGTGTCTTGATTCGTTTGGGACTGGCGACGACGACGACGACTCAAACAGACAGCGTCTCACACACGCCGAGGTGTCGGCGGATTGCTATTGCGGAAAGAGCCCCGTTGCAAGACAACCAGTTGAGAGTCCTCAATCAGTTCTTGGGCATTCAACGTTGTGAAGCAACGTGGCTGTTGCGGCTTGGCAATCCTTAGTCGTGCTAGAACGCTTTTTTTCCTGGGAACGCGACCCCGCGAACCGGCGTGCGTGTTACGTCCTGGCAGTGACACACATTTTACCACGACGCCGACCCTGGGATTTCGACCATGCGAATCCTTGAAACTGTTGTAAAATTTCACACAGATTGTGCGCGGTACCATGGCGACAGCCATGTCTTGAACACGAACATTTGTTCATCCTTGCAACTGCTGCGGTGTTATAGCACGAACGTGCACGGCGCCGCGGCGAGAACAACATGTTCAAAACCACCCGGTTTCCATCCGTGACATCATGGCAAAGTTTGCAAAATAATGCGCGCGGCACTGTGGCGAGAACCAGATGTTGGAAACCACCCGCCGTCCATTTTTGAACTGGTCGCACATGTTTCAGACGGGCGGCACAAGGTCGACAGCCAGATGTTGGAAACCTCCTGCCGTCCATGTTTTGTTGTTTCGCAAATGTTCCAGAAGGAATATGTGCGTCGCTACGGCGCGAGCCACATTTTGAAAACGGTCTGACCTGTGAAGCAGCTGCAAATATCGGGCTGCAGGGTACAGAGCGAAGGGGACGTTTCAGACGAAACACGTGGTCAGCCCTACCAACACATCAGGGATGCGATTCGGAGGAATTGTAAAAAAGAACAGGAAAAGAGGTGGATGAGCAGGCGGACGAGGAAGATGGCAGAGGATTGAGGAGGGAGGGACGGGGAAGAACGAGACGGTAGGAGGAGGACGCGGGAGGAGGAGGAGGGGGAGAAGGGGTCAAGCGCGTGGAGGTGAAGTTTCGATGGAGGAGGGACGCGGCAGGCGAAGGGAACAGGGCTGAGGAAAGAGGGGGAGGATGTAGAAGAGGAACAATGAGGAAGGAGGAGGAGGAGGAGGAGGAAGAGGAAGTGGAACGAGGAGACGTGCCGCCGCCTCCGTGCGGCGCCCCCCCCAAAAAAGTCCGAGCCCGCGCCCGCCTGCGGACAGGGCCGCCCCCGCGTCGGCCCAGCGGCCGGCGGCGGCGGCTGCCAGGGTCGGCGGCAGCTCGGAGTGGCAGGACGCGGCCGTCCTACGCCTCGCTTCTCCTCCTCCTTTCTTCTGTCTCCTTTTCCTCATATTTCCTCGTGTCTCCCCCCTCCCCTCTCCCCCGCCCTGCGCATCTCTCCTCCTGCTTCTCCTCGTCGTCGTCCTCCTCCTCCTCCTCCTCCTCCTTTTTCTCTTCCTCCTACTCCCCGTCCTCCATCGCCATTTGTATCCAGTTTTGAGCTCGCTCAGTCTGCGAGTTTCTCGCACCGCCACCTCAGTTGTGAGCGGCAGTTGTTCATGACACGCCAGAAGTCGACTGTCGACGTTCAGTCTAAGACGTACAGACATGCTCGGTTTGTGGCAGTTGGGCATGGGATTGGAGGTC